TGTGTGTGTGTGTGTGTGTGTGTGTGTGTGTGTGTGTGTGTGTGTGTGTGTGTTATGGTTCTCATCTCTTAACAGTGGATTCATGTGGGATTAAAGCCTTTAGTTTACCTGCTGGTTTTCCACTTCTTCACCAATGTGAGTATAAGCTACCTGAACTTCCAATTTTTGTTAGAGTCGGTTTTGTCCGTTTGAATTGTAGAAGAGTAAGGACTGAGGCATGCTCCTACAGTGGTCGTTTTCGCCTAAGAGGCTGCAGCACACGTTGACTACAGGCAATTCCAAACTTTGTGGGTTTAAATGTGGGAAGAGCGAAAACAGCGGAGTCAACAAGCATATTTATATAAGATATTAGCAGGCTGTGGGCCAGAGTGCACGTAAACCCATCTTTGAGGTGCATAACGAAAGTATTTCCTTAAATGATGCAGCTTTGATTTCACAGATGCATGGAGTGCGTTTTGTTTGGCATTGGAGCAATTGGTGCAGATAGAAACCAGTCCTTCACAACAGAGAAGATTGAAACGGTTTCCACCTTTACGGCAGCAGATGCAGTCCCAGGCCTCGATCCCTAGACCTTGTCCTCACCCGTATACAGTACCAAATCGACCTCCATGTGTTTGAACCCGTGACCTGTGTCTTGGTAGTCGTTGTTGTGTGTTGCAGGTTTGTATGGTCGTCGGGTCTTGAAATGTAGGTCTGTCAAATAGGGGTCGTAGCTGTGTGGAAGTTGTAGCTGCTACAGTCCTGAAAAGTCAAGGTCGTAGCTGCGACAGGCCCGAAAGGCCAAGTCTACAGACTTCCGGAAGGTCCGGAAGTGGCCTTTCGAGAATTGCGTAGGTTAGGCTAGAAGCAAGTGGGCAAGTGGGGAGTCCAACCTCGCCTAGTCAGCGGTACCCAGTCCCAGTCGCACTTTGTCCAGTCAGCAAGTACCATGTGGGACTGTGTGCACCTGGGCCCGGTGAAAGGGGCAGACCAGCGACCATCCGAAGTATAAATCAAGAGGCAGCGTCCAGTCATTTATTCATTTTGCCTGTGCGCCGTGCGGAAGCGATGCCTGAGCGTCTTGTGCAAGGAGTTCTGCAGGTCACCGAAGGAGAAATGGACTGTGAGGGAGACGAAGCGGCTATAACTGCTAGTTGGTAGGGAAGGTAGAAGGCAGCCATAGCTGCCATAGGTAGAGGTAGGCTGTAGCATGTAAGTGTGTGAAGTATTGCGTGCGGGGTGTGCGTGTGGGACATCCAGGGAGATCCAGAGTAACGTGTGTGTGAACAGTTGCTGGGAATACAGTGTCAGCTGGGTGTTGTGTGGGCGTACAGGCGCCATAGCCATCGGAAGCAAGTTTGAATCCGAACTGTGTTCTTGGCCTCGATATCTCTGAGCTTTGTGTGGGCGTCTGGCGCCAGAGTGATTGCCATATGTTTTCCTGCATGCTGAGTAAGCAAGAAGACGACTCTGGTTGCAATTGGTATCGGAGCTGGTTCCCGCTGTCCTGCATCGTCATCGTCGTCATCTGCGAGAAGTAGGAGAGGCGCCGGTTGGGCGCCACGTCAGCAGCTGCGCCATAGCGCAAGGAGGGGAGGCGCCAGCTGGGCACCACGTCAGCGTCTGCCATAGCAGAAGAAGGAGCCGCCATAGCTGCGCTGCTGTTTGAGGACGCCGCGCACCTGCACAGACAACGACGAGACGAAGAAGAGAGAGAGAGAGAGAGAGAGAGAGAGAGAGAGAGAGAGATGTTGCCTGTCTCTTATACACATCTAGATGTGTATAAGAGA